AAAAAACCCTTCTCTACAATTTATTTTTTATTTATTTATTTACAGTATTTATATTCCGCCCTTCTCACCCCGCAGGGGACTCAGGGCGGATTACAATGTACATATACATGGCAAACATTCAGTGCCATAGACACACAACATATATAGACAGACACACAGAGGCAATTTAACATTCCAGCTTTTTCATGAGGGTATTCTGGCCACCAGGGGAGCTGTCGCTTCACTGACCATTTGTGACACTGATGAAGTACTTCCTCATTCTTTGCATGCTTGCTGGAGATTTTTATGGTGTCGTAAATTAGCCTCCCCGCATAAGTGGTACCTAAATTTCCTACTTGACAGATTCAATTGTCTTTTTGCTGCAAAGGTCGACAGCAAGCTACACAAATTGGTTGGAAGCTCAGGTGTTCTTATTCTGATTGTTGTGGACTCGCTTTGTAGTGGGAGCAGTTTGGAAATACTATTTTCTGTCTGTATCCTGATTGCCCCTGAACATATCAGGCTGCTGGCTGTTTAAGGTGGGTTCTGGGGCTAGACCATTTGCATAGTTTTATAAGATTATATAATCTTACTGAATACAGAGCAGTTACTCATATGTATCTCACTGAAATTGCAATATGTCAATGTCAGCCAAATAGTTATATCATGCCACTTACTGTATCATGTCAAGGATGGATTGTGGTAGAATCAGTACAGACCATTTTAAATTAGAGGAACAATGTCTAAACAGAAATAGTTTAAAACAGTTTACAATATGGTGGGGAGACGGAAAGATGGTGGTGTAGCTGGAGCTATCTTTCACTCTCTCGGCATCTCCCATCCTCCTAACCTTCTGAGATGCACAAAAGGAGAGGAATATTGACAGCAGTCTGAAGTTTGTATTAAGTTACTCTTATCATAAGGGAGCTTTGAACCTACTATATGGTATGATCTCCATATCCAGGGAGGATACATTCCCAGACTTATATAGATACGCAGACTGTTGACAATAACAAATGGTATTGAATTGAAGTGACATTGGAGGGCCTAGAGACCACTTCCTTCAAACCCAGGCTTGTGGGTGAAATCCAGCCCATCATGTCATTTTATATGGTCTGGACTACAACTTTGTTCCTCATCATTAGACATCATGACACCTATGCAGTGTTCCCTCACTTATCGCGGGTCTTACGTTCCAGGACCACCCGCAATAAGTAAAATTCCACGAAGTAGGGACACCCCCCCCCCCCCCCACTGACTCCTCACCCTCTTTACCTTCCTCCTCCTTGCTGCTTCTGCTGCTCCAAAAGCGGCGGAGGGGGCACCTCGTTGCCACCTGGGCCTCTTGGTGCCGCTCGCCGCTCTTCTTCCCTCCTCACCCTCTTTACCTTCCTCCTTCGAGCTTCGGCTGCTACTGCTCCAGAAGCGGCGGAGGAGGCACCTCGTCGCCCCTGGGCCTCTTGCTGTGACTTGGTCCCCAGAAGTAATTGAGGAGGCGCTGGAGGGAAAGCCCCCCCCCCCCCCCGGCTACATGCCTGGCTGGACTCTTTTGTTATGTGATTTCCATCTCTTTTCTGTTTTAGGTAATGGCCATTGCCACCTTGGCAGCCTGTTACAACAACCAGCAGGTCTTCCGAGGGGTGGTGAAGATCCGGAAGGGGCAAGCCGTCACATTGATGATGGATGCCACCAACATCCAGGCTGTCAAAGCCATCATGTACCAGTATGTGGAAGAGGTGAGTTGGATGTCAGGGACAGGATAATGCTTTTTAAAAAACTTTCTAGTAAATCCTTCAGTCGGAATCCTGTTGCTTGAGAGTAGATCTGTTGGGAGTGCTTTAAATGCAGATTTCCTGCTTGTTAGCAGGGGGTTGGACTGGATGGCCCATGAGGTCTCTTCCAACATTATGATTGTATGATTCAGTGTGCCTTCCCAGAAGAGGAAACTACAAGCACTTTGTCCCAAATGCACTTTACTAGAGATTTAGGTCTGTCCGCATACCCTACCTATTCGCCAAATACCTATCCATTTTACCCGGTCATGCCCAGCTTTTTAAAACTTTTAACCACTACATTTGGCCCTGACATTGGTTTTAATTGTGTCGTGTTTATTGTTAATTTTTACTGTTTTGATTTTTTATTTACTGCTGTATTGTTGTTGTCTTTCATTGTTGTATTGGGTCTCGGCCTATTGTAAGCTGCACTGAGTCCTTTGGGAGATGGTAGCGGGGTATAAATAAAGGTTTGTTGTTGTTGTTGTTGTTATTATTATTATTATTATTATTATTATTGGTTGTTGACTCTTTTCTTGACAGATCTACCAGAAGATCCCCAGCACAGACCCTTCCTCCAGCAGAACCCAGCAAATCGTCGCCTCGGTCCGCTCGATGAGTTTGCCCGGGGGGGAGCTGGTCTCTCGGACCCATTACTCCCCCATCTACTTGTCCTGCGTCATGCTTCTGGTGGCCCTGAGCTGGCAGTATCTGAGCACGGTGTCCCAGGCGGCGGAGGAATTCGTTCACACGGGAGAGAACTGAGACCGACACGGTTTTGCTTTTTGAAGGGAGAGACATTTCAGACTTAGGAGGACTTGACGGAAGTCCCGGGACTTGAAACCTTGAATTTGTGCAAACCTGTTTGGACTGGAAGCTTTCACCTCTAGAAGCAGCTGCTAACAAACCAAGGTTCCTGAATGGAGACGACCCCCTCACCCTCCCTTTTCCTGTTGTTGGACGGACTGGTTATGGACTTGTCTCTTTCTGAGTCTTAATGTTTTGTTTTCTGCAGACTGTTTGATCTGCGGTTTTTGTTTCCTTTTTTTTTTCTGATGTAGGATATTTTTTAACTAGGAAGTTGGAAGGTGCCTCTTCKTTGCTTGTTAATTTTGACAGTAAAAAAACAAAATTGCTGTGACCYRAGTGTGGGCTRTTGAATTGGTGCATTGACCGGCATCCTGTTACATAAGTTCCTTCATGTATGTCATGTATGTGATGTATGTCATCATTTCYCAACCTGTGGGTCGGGACCCCTGGGAGGGGGTCTCAAGGGGGTGTCAGAGGGGTCACCAAAGRCCATCAGGAAACACTGTATTTTCAATTGGGGTTYTGTGTGGGAAGTGAACTATTAACTCCCAATCTCAAGGTCAATGCCCACCAAACCCTTCCAGTATTTTCTGTTGGTCAYRGGAGAACTGTGTGCCAAGTTTGGTTCAATTCMATCGTTGGTGGAGTTCAGAATRCTCTTTGATTGTAGGTSAACTATAAATCCCAGCAACTACAACTCCYCAATRTCAAGGTCTATTTYCCCCAAAYTMCACCAGTATTCACATTTGGGCATATTGAGGATTYGTGSCAAGTTTGGTCCTRATYCATCATTGTTTGAGTYCACRRKGCTCTCTGGATGTAGGTGAACTACAAYTCCAAAACCCAAAAGTCAATGCCCACCARACAATTCCAGTATTTTCTGTTGGTCATGGGAGTTCTGTGTRTCAAGTTTGGTTCAATCCCTTAGTTGGTGGAGTTCACAATGCTCTTTGATTGTAGCTGAACTATAAATCCCAGCAACTACAACTCCCCAATGTCAAGGTCTGTTTTCCCCAAACTCCACCAGTATTTGCATTTGGGCATATTGAGGATTCGTGCCAAGTTTGGTCCTGATCCATCATTGTTTGAGTCCACAGTGCTTTCTGGATGTAGGTGAACTACAACTCCAAAACTCAAGGTCAGTGCCCACCAAACAATTCCAGTATTTTCTGTTGGTCATGGAAGTTCTGTGTGCTAAGTTTGGTTCAGTTTTATCATTGGTGGAGTTCAGAATTCTTTTTGATTGTAGGTGAACTATAAATCCCAGCAACTACAACTCCCAAATGACAAAATCAATCCCTCCTCCCAACCTCACCACTATTCAAATTTGGGCGTATCGGGTCCAGTGAATGAAAATACATCCTGCATATCAGATATTTACATTATGATTCACAACAGTAGCAAAATTACAGTTATGAAGTAACAACAACAATAATGTTATGGTTGAGGGTCACCACAACATGAGGAACTGTATTAAGGGGTCGCGGCATTAAGAAGGTGGAGAACCACTGCTATGGAAGCTTGGGTTGCGTTGTTGGAGACTGTCCTAGGGTACATTAGGAAGGTTGAGAACCACAGATGTATTTGATTGTATTTTGGGACAAGATGGGTGCTGTGTACCTTCTGGTCTTTTCTGACTAAAGGCAATCCTATTGTGGGGTTTTCTGGGCAGGACTTGTGTTGGCTTTCCTCTGAGGCTGAGAGAATGCTGCTTACTCCAGGGTACCCAATGGGTTTGTGGTTGGGTGGGGATTTGAACTCATGTCTCCAGTGTCCTAATACAACACTCAAACCATTACACCATGCTGGTTCTCCAAATTGAAGGTTACGAAAGTGGAATTATGCATGCTTTATACATCGTTAAATGGTGCATCACACATTGCATAGTATTGTGCAAGTTCGTGCATTGTTCTTTTGGCTGTGCAAGACACAGCCTTCGAAGTGTTGGACTCCACCTCTCAACCGCCCCCATCATTGTTTCAGAAGTTCTAATCCATCAAGATCTGTAGGATCACACCCTTCTTATCCCTACTTTAAAATCACAAGATACGTGTGATTTCCTTTGGATCAACATTTTCTATATCATCTAAAGGGGCTTATGGAGCAGCCCTGTTTACGTTCTGCAGTCACGTCTCGGATAGGCCTTGAGGGGTAAGGATTTGCCCTTTGGTCTTAAATAGGTTGTTGACGGCTAGGATTCTTGCAAGGACAGAATGGCTGGGATGTGTGGACTTTGCTCAGCTTTGTTACAACATTCTTGTTCAAGCCTATATACTTAAGAGTTCCTGCAGAAGATTAGTTCACCCTTATCATTGTTACGTGCCTTTGAGTTGCCCGTCGACTTTCTGCAACCCTATGAATTTCACTGGGTTTTTCAAGGCAAGGAATACTCCGAGGCAATTTATTGTCAAAGGCTTTCATGGCCAGAATCACTGGGTTGTTGTAGGTTTTGTTGGGCTATATGGCCATGTTCTAGAGGCATTCTCTTGATGTTTCGCTTGCATCTATGGCAAGCATCCACAGAGATAGTGAGGTCCTCACTACCTCTGAGGATGCTTGCCATATATGCAGGCGAAACGTCAAGAGAATGCCTCTAGAACATGGCCATATAGCCTGAAAAAACCTACAACTACTTAGAGGCAGTTATGCTAGTTTTTTCTTTGGAAACAGACACTAGCTCCTGTTGAGCCGATTCCCCAATTTGATTTGGATCCCAATTAAGATGGGGTGCCCCTTTGCTTTGGAATGCACCCAGCCCTACTAGAGTTCTTTTTTTGTCCTGCCTGAATGGCTTACACAAAGGCTTTATGGGTAATATGTTAATTGAATTATAAGGGAAAGAACAGCATTTTGGGAGCTCTAGTTTTGCAAGGGTTTCCATCTTCTCCCAGGATTCCATAGTAGGCAAAGTTTAACCAAAAGAAATTTCAGATATAAGGAGTGCTGGTGGTTCAATTCGGAATTCTGAATTTTTTCTTTAAAAAATCAGAACTTTCCGAATCGCTTTGTTAAAAGTTGATTTCACACCTTTAGGAAAAATGTTTTGACTATATGGGATTTGTAATGTCTTTTCTGGCAACGCAAGGCAAACAAAGGAAACAAACAGCAGAGAGAGACCTTTGTGGTTTTGGAAGTTGATTTCACACCTTTAGGAAGGATAGTTTGTGTTCAAAGAGTGGCTTAAATTGATGGGAGATCTAGTTCTATTGAGGCAATGTACAGCACAGAGGCCAGGCCAGAGAGACCTGCTACAATGCTGGGGCTTTTTCAAACGTTGGAGTGCTTTGTTTCCTCCATGCTGTTTCTTCCTTCCACCCACGCCATGCACCCTCACAACCCAATATTACCCACCCACACAAACCCCAACAGCAACAACACACAAGCGGCAAGGCAGGCATCACAGCCAGGCAATAGCCTGAGATCGGAAACTGGCCGAAAGTTGTTCAGTTGGGTAGGGTCCAGTGATGTTTTTTTCAACAGCGGTTTTACAACAGCTTCGTTTAGGCTCGCTGGAAATTTGCCCTCCTGTAAGGAGGCATTGATCACCACCTTCACCCACCCTGCCAAATCCCCTCTGGCTTCCTTTATCAGCCAGGATGGGCAGGGGTGTAGGATGCATGTGGTCGCTCTCACCTCTCCAAGAATCTTGTCCACCTCCTTGAGCTGTACAGATTAAAACGAATCCATTAAAACATGCCCAGCTCTTTCAGGCACTCCGCATAGGGCTTGTTCTCCAGACTGTTGATCATTCTAGTCACCCTTATCTGGACATATCCCAGCTTGTCAACATCTCCCTTCAATTGTTGTGCCCAGAATTGGTGTGATTCCAGGTGGTTTGACCAAGGCATAATAAATGAAGTATCTCAAATATGGAACACATGTCCAACACAACATTCATGTTTCAACCACACTCTGGGGCAGAGAGTTCCACTTCTGAACAGCTCTCACAGTCAGGAAGTTCTTCCTAATGTTCAGGTGGAACCTCCTTTCCTGTAGTTTGAAGCCATTGTTCCATTGCATCCTAGTCTTCGGAGCAGCAGAAAACAAGCTTGCTCCCTCCTCCCTATGACTTTCCCTCACATATTTATACATGGCCCTCCTCATGTCTCCTCTCAGCCTTCTCTTCTTCAGGCTAAACTTGCCCAGCTCTTTAAGCTGCTCCTCATAGGGCTTGTTCTCCAGATCTTTGATCATTCTAGTCACCCGCTTCTGGACACATTCCAGTTTGTCAATATCTCCCTTCAATTGTGGTGCCCAGAATTGGACACAAGGTGATTCCAGGTGTGATCTGACCAAGGCAGAATAAATGAAGTAGCCATGTATAAATAAGTGAGAGGAAGCCACAGGGGGGAGGGATCAAGCTTGGTTTCTGCTTCCCTGGAGACTAGGACGCGGAGCAATGGCTTCAAACTACAAGAAAGGAGATTCCATGTGAACATGAGGAAGAACTTCCTGACTGTGAGAGCCGTTCAGCAGTGGAACTCTCTGCCCTGGAGTGTGGTGGAGGCTCCTTCTTTGGAAGCTTTTAAACAGAGGCCGGATGGCGATCTGTCAGGGATGCTTTGAATGCAATATTCCTGCTTCTTGGCAGGGGGTTGGACTGGATGGCCCATGAGGTCTCTTCCAACTCTGATTCTATAAGTATCTCAGAGGTGGATCTCATGTCCAACACAACACTCAAGTTTCCTATACACCTTACACATATAGCCTCAAGGTAATTGTATACACAAGACAATTGTATACACAAGCCTCAAGGTAATTGTATACACATTTGCGTATCCCTTAAAAATATACATAATGAGATATCTTGGTGATATCTCATTATGTATAAAATGTTTTACATATGTATAAACAAGTTTAAACACAATATTCATTAGTGTTTCCTATACACCTTAAACACATAGCCTGGGGGTAATTGTGTACAGGTTGACAATATTTGTGAATTTGAGCATCTCTTAATGCAAAGCTTTCTAAACTCTGTGTCACAACATGTTTGTGGGTCAGCTGCAAGATGTAGGTATGTTGCACAGACTTAAGAATATGACAAAAATATTGGACATGTATATTACTATCTTACAAACCATATATTTTTAATAATATGGATGAAAGGTTTTCATGAACTACATTGTGTCCCCATACATTTTGTTATTGCATTTTATGTATGTGTCCATATCTAAGGGGTTGGCTCAACCATTGTTTGTTACTACAATGCTTTAGTGCAGGCATGGGCAAACTTGGGCCCTCCAGATGTCTTGGACTTCAACTCCCACAACTCCTAACAGCCTACCGGAGTTTCGGGGTGTGGTGTCATCTGTACGCAGATGATGTCCA